GGCACATTGTGAGTCGGCCAGATCTTTGGAGGTCGAATGTAGACTAAAGGTCGAATCGAAAGTCGGCGGTTACAGGAGCAGTTGGAGAAGGCTGCTATGAGATCGGAAGAGCCACAGAGGAGAATGGAGAAGGTAGAGACGGCATACCGTCAGTTGCAAGACGAGACGACAGACGAATTGAGATTGCGAGTTGAGAAGTGCCTGCGCGGATTCGCAATGTGGGGATTGCAATCGGTGAAGTGGTTGAAGTTAGATTCGTTGGAGCGACGTTTGATGAGTACTAAGGTCAGCAGATCCGCGGGACACAAGCAGATAGTAGAGTTAATTAATTCTTTCTCTGAGGGATTTACAAAGGCACGAGAGAATGTAGAGTTAGAGATTTTAGGCGTTCTGTGTAGGTTAGGCGTAGACGTAAGCTCAGACAACGCTGTAACCGCTACGTCGGATGGCACTGCACCTGAGAGTAGTTCACCTCAGGTGGTTGAGATTCCAGAGCCATCATTGTGAATAAAGAGGCCCAAGGCTCTTTCCTCGGGGGGCTTTTCTGTCAATTCGCTTGTCTTGACTGTGAACTTGTATCCAGTGTGTGTATGTGTGCTGGTGTGTGATCCAGATACTCAGCACAGTGCGCTCCTGTTTGACAAAGTTACCGCATCAGGAGTTGTGAATGTCCAGCCTGAGTGTTCTGAGTAGCAGGGAGCTCTTCGGGATTTAAGCAAATTTGGGTTTGGGTATTCGGATCAGTAAGTCGGATGTATGCAATTTTGGGAAGTTTTCCCCCTGAAATCTGAGCGTGGGGTCGCAGGCGATTCCCAAAGGTGTTGATTGGAAAAATTTCAGGTTGAGTGAGTGAGTATACTCTGCCCCTCGGACCTTCGGCCGTAAATGAGCGGTGTCTTCTGGGAGTGACATGTGCCTGAGAAGTAAAACTTGTCAATAGAATGTTAATACGTGACAAATCGTGACTTTTGATGTTGTTTTTGTCCTCGTGGGATCGGACCTGTACCATTATGCTCCATTTTGATATTTGTCTGTCATTACATAGATAAATTTTTCTTTTGGCGCCGTTGCCGGGGACAGAGCGTCAACACAAAGGTTGCATGTGCAGCGATGCGTGATGAATGTGGACAGGAGATGGTCCAAACAAGATAAGTGATCGAACTACGCGGTATCTCCGTCGACGGGAGAAGAAGGCGAATCAACCCGAGTCTACGTTTGATTCCGATAGAAGAAAGATGAGGGGGAAAGGAAAGAAGCAAGAAATCCTCCTTCATGTGACTACACCTCCGCAAGCAATTTGACCAACGGAATCACCGTCGACCCACGAAGTCTTACATCGAAGGAAGAGTGCAGACGGTGATGCAAGATATTGAAGGGCGACTTGCAAATACGTCTACATCACCCCTTCGAACCACAACCTTGTTCAGAGACCCGAATCCCGTAAGATCTTCCGGAGGCTCTTCCGGAGGTTCGGAAGGAGAAGGATCCACATCTCCACTAGGATCACCCAGGGGAGGACCACCCTTTCCATCTAATTCTCCAGGAGGAAACGGAGGAGGAGGCGGAGGGGGAGGGCCCCTGAATCGTCTAATGGCAAACCCGCAAGGAAATCCTCATCCACCTTCCTTCACCAAACATTCCTACCCGAAGTTCAAGGGAAGAAGGGACGATAATGATGCAGATTCCTACATCAAGCTCTTTGAGTCAGTGTCCACCACGAATAAGGAAAATAATGATGCGGATCGAATGCGCATCTTCCCTAGTCTACTCAGAAGAAAGCTTGAAGTTGGTATAACCACATGGGCATTGTTCCCACCGGAATCGATACTTGGGCCAAGCTCCGGGAGAAGTTTTTATGAAGATTCAGAGAGTTTGGATATGATAGCCGTGTCCTGACAAAGTTGCGTAACCTCTAGCGAGAGCGCAAGGAGAATCTAAGAGATTACATCGAAAGATTTCAAGATCTCCTGGATTGAATTCCAAAGATTGGAGAGGGAGTGCCTTATTCTACCCAGCAAGCCATCGATTGGTATGTGACGGGTTTGCCACGGGAAATGGAGACATATTGCCAATGGAGCAAGTGCGATACCATTGATGATGTGATAATTTTGGCCGAGGCTTATGAGACCTCCACGTTAAATAGACGTCCAAAGGATCGGCCGCATGACGAACGGAAGTCTAAGATGAGCAAGAAAGAGGTGTGTCGAAGACTTTGCATACTCAAGTTTGATCCAAATATCATCACGAAGGAGAAGTCAAGATTTTTGGATATTTTTAAAATATATTCATATCTTTGCATTTAGTTACAAAGATTTGAAGCACGTGACACTTGAGACTCATCACATTGAATTGAAAGAGAAAGCTCACCTTATTCGTCAGAAGTAACGTTGAATCAATCTTCATACGAGTGTGGTGATGAAGGAGGAGATTGGCTTTATATATGAGGTAGATAATTTGGAATGGATATCTCCTATTGTGATAGTGAAGAAAAATAATGATAAACTACGTGTGTGTATAAATTACAGAAAGTTGAATGCTATCACAAAGAATGATTACTATACTTTGACTTTTATAGATGAGATTCTACAAGAGGTAGCAGTCCATGAGTGATATGGTTTTGGAGATGATTAAAGTGACTATAATAAAGTCCAAATTGTTTTAGAACATCGTTTGTAAACTAATTTTATCATATCATGAGTAACTTTTGTGGTAAAGTAATATCATTTGGTCTATGTAATGCTTTAACTATTTTTCAAAGATTCATGAATAGAGTGTTTGAATCTTTCATAGAAAAATTTGTGAGAGACTTTTGTGTATACGGGAGTAAGTAGTATCATTGTGATCATTTGATCAAAATACTCTAACGTTTGGAGTAAGTTAAACCTTCATTCAATCCAAAAAAATACAAAAATGGATATGAAAAACTCTTGTTGATCATTATTATCTCCAAGAAAAGTATAACGGTATATCCAGAGGAGATGACGAGGATCATGATACTCGTCATCTCCTTTTTCCGATGATTGTAATCAAGTTGAGACAATTTCTTGATTTGATGGATTACTATCAACGGTTTTAACTTGTATTTCTTCAATAAATTTCATGCATTGATGAGCTACATGAAGAAGTGGACGGAATACGTACTCATCTTCAAATATAAAAAAAATCAAATTTGACATTTGAAATTCTCAAGAAGATGTTTGTGATGGTTTCAATTTTGGCATAATTATATTGGAATTATATTTTTTGTGAGCGTCAAATATTGTGGTGGCAAGCATCTTAAGTCAATTTATGAAAAAACGATCATCCAATTGTCTATGTTAGTATATAAATGATAAAAGAAAAAAAAATTATCTGATGATCAAAAAAGAGACTTTAGTCGTAATTTCTTTCATTCAAAATTTTTTTCATTATTTTCAAAATTAAATTAAATAAATAATCAAATTTATCTAATTATATTATTTGTATAATTGAATTGAATACAATTCATTGTATTGATGAAAAAAAATAATAAATAACTATGTTACTATAAGCAAAAAATTAATGTAAATCAAAAAATATTTATACATTATATATTATAAATACAAGCATGTATCATTGCTAGTAGAAGAAAAAATAAATAAAGAATGATTAGATACATTCATATGAATGTAAAATTTGATGAAATTTTAAACATTAGTTTCATAATTAAAAAATATATGTTCGAAAATTCATATTATACGTCTAAGGTTAAATATTTTCTTGTCTATCATGTGAACAAGGTGAAAAAATTAATATTATACCATATTTACATAATAAATATTACTACAGTAAATACATCTCAAATACAATTCTACATGTGAGCATAAATAAAAAAACTAAGGTGTAGAACACAAACTAGCAAAAAATGCTGCACTAAAAAGGTCTACACTATCAAAAAAAAGCTTCATACTCCACTCTAAATTACAATACTAATTTCTTGGTCTAATGATGTCATTAAACACATAAATCTTATGTCTTTTAGAGTATGTAAGGAATGAAAATATATATTCCTCTTCTAAAGTAGAAAGGTTGTTGAGAAGCAATTTTTAAAAAGATATACCAAAGTCTTAGTCAGTACCTTCATGCCAAAATGTTTGAACTCAATTTGCCATGTGGTTTACTAATGAATTATATCTATAAATATCATTGATCATCATGTAACTTGGAGAATATTCCAAAGTAAATACGATTATTCAGATAATATTCAGTTAAGGACATTTATTAGAAGCCTGTCAATTTGAATTATACAGTAAACCACATAAAAGGAGTAAAAAGTTGTTATTTTAGACATTTCTCTACATCAATAGACTAACCTTCCAACCAATATAAATTCCCACTACAAAAGAGCTAAAGCGTATCATTTCCCACATACGGACAACATCGTACCACGCCATTGCATCTTTCGCCAGGGCAGTTGACTCACGGGCTTTGCATCTCAACATCAATTTAGATTAGACTAAATGCCAAAGAAATTCACCAAACCGCCCACAGTTGAGGAGCTGTAAAGTACGATGCAAGTGGTTTCCACATCATCTTCAAGTGGTATCCGCATCATCTTCATACATAATTCATTCATATAATACATCTGGTGGTTATCAGGCTGGTCTTGGTAGCACTCGAAGAAAGTATAATTCATAGTATGGTAAACTGCGGATCCCTGCGTCTTTCGTGATTGTTTTGATTTGGTGCGCATGCAGAGGTGATTTTGACTTTGTACTCAAGAATCAATCAGGGGTATCAATCAATCAATCAGTCAGAAATCAATCAAACAGAATCAATCAATTTCATGTATTCTGACATATTTGATGACATCAATTACAGTTCCAAACATCCTAAGAACTAATGACAAACCCAACTATTTCAGAGAACACGCATCAGACTATGTTTCAGTTGTGAATCGACTCTCATTGAGCGGGACAGAACCAAGAAGGGAACACTTTTTACAAACACATTCTTCCAGACTTAATGGCAGGTAACGAATTGCCGAAGATCTGTCAAGAGCTTTATTACAGTTTGTCATGAACGAAGAATTTGAAGACCTTCCAGAGTTTTCCTGCTCCTTGAAATTGAATAGACCACTACACAGTAGGGGGTAGAAAATGCTATACAAGATGCTCCTTGCGAAATCAGATTGAAGCATTCTCTCTGCCATAATGGAACCTATTAACGCACAGATATTTCGGAATTCAATTGAGAACTCTTCACTGCCCCTCCATGATACACCTAGGTTCTAGACAGTACAGCTGGTTTCATACTGACTCAAAGCGGGAAATTTCTTCTTCAAAGCACGCAACCTTGGATGGCAGAGTCTCAAGTTTTGGCCTCAACTTGCAAGTGATGGTTTGTCTGGCTTAGTACAGTGATCGATAAGCAAATTTTATTGCGAAGACAATCGCACTTGTCACTGAACAAGAAATTAAGCCTGAAGAGTAAGGAGAAAGAATGCCTAGGAGAGGAGTTGATGACCAACAACTGAAGAGACCTAAAAGGTGGCAATACGTTGTACCTGGTCTGTACGTGCAGTCCTGGAACTAAAATACATAAGGATGTTTGGGCAATGTACACACTATCTCAAAATTGAAGGTTTGAAGAGCCTGGTCAAGGGTGAGAAAAATGTTGCGGGAGTGCGGACTTCCGCATCTCACCACCCACGGAATCACCTCTAATCGTTGTAAATATGTGACTACTACTATGGGACATATGAATTTGTTCACTTTCACTTGGACAAAAGTGCGTAGTTATGAACCCAAGGAGAGGATAGGTAAACGTTGGAGCTGTTCACACAGTTGGTATTATATCCTCAAAAAAGTCCTGTAATGGAATCCAGAACTTGCTAATATGTGCAATCTCTACTTGTACCTTACTTGGCAGCGTACCAACTTTGGGCGTACTTGGCGTCGACAGCCAAGGCTACTCTCAAAGGGTTTTTCCCGTCGAAAGGATAGCCCATGCACTTCACTACCAAATCCTTAGCAATCTCTGCACTTTCCGAAGGTCCCTCTAGAATAACTTCATCATGTACCTGTTGGGTGAGACAAAATGAAAATGCGAACCTTTTTGAGAAAAATAATTAACTTCAGCAACATTTTCCTCAAGAAATACAAGGAGACTCCAATAATCTAGCACAACCACTTCTAACAGAACGTATCGCTGACATGAATAATGAGGTGCCTATATTCATGTGCTGAAAGACCGTAAAAATCATCGGAAATAACTATGACAGCCATTACTCCGTTCTAGGTTGGAGATTTCTGAGCGCAGAAGATTCAAAAGTAAACAAAGGCGAATTCTCGAGTCGTTTAAGAGCACTGGATTACCTGGAGGAGCAATCTCCAACCTAGATCCAGGAGTTCCTTATTGGTGTTGATCTCCAGCATAGCACACATAGCCACATCTGCAGCACTTCCCTGTGGAAGATTAAAAAGGTCAGTATACTAAGCATAAATTAACTTAAAACTTTTAAAACAACAAACAGAAACAATTTGAGAGGCGCAGAGCTCAAATATACGAGGAGTTGAACACAAATTGAATACCTGTACGGGTGTATTGATGGCTGCACGCTCGACGTGTCCCCTGACTAATCTACTACTAGATTTCACATCCGGGAAATGACGAGTCCGACCAAGGAGTGTATGTACATGGTGAGTCTGATGTGCTTCTTTGATACGTTCTTCCTGCCAACGTCGCACTTCCGGCCTATCGCTGTACCACAAATCCACGGTTGCTTTCGCTTCTTCTAGAGATACCTGAAGTGTAATCCCCATAATAGTCGCTGTTAGAAAAATCTACGATTTTCTATTATCGAAACTGGACAAACTGCAATCAGTAGAAAAACTTACCTTCTACCGGATAAGTTACGGTACCAATTATTTTCAGAGACATATTCCCTTGAGTGAGGAAGTAAACGAATTTGCGTCAGAAGTGGATCAACGTCTCGTACCTTCCAATCCTTGGAGAGTCCCATAGCCGTTTTGCCGTAGGCAATGGAAAAGTTCAACATTTTCGCTTTCCTCCTCTCAGATCCGAATATATCCTGAAATGCATTACCTTAGTTTCTTCTTTCATATCAAGTAAGGACGGCAAAACACCATCCAACTGCCAACAGGGCAGTACTTGAGGAATCAGATTTCTTCACGTACCTTAAGAAGAGGAACTGGGGGTTTGGTCTCTCCTTCTTTCGGTTCCCACTCTAAAATGACGTCGCCATTTTCAACAGCTTTTCGAACGTGGGGATACATGTTCAAAGCCGTTCTAGAGTGGAAGTCCCCTCCATCTTCAAATGCTTTCAGCATGCTCTTACAATTTGTCAAATGTGCTAATATGCGTAGCTCTAACTGCAAGAGATAATGTATAAGTGAGATATGAGATAGTCGCCAACATTCCAGAATAAGCATTAACACAGAAAATGCGATAAAATTTGGACTACGGGTTGTAGACAAGGGTAAAGTAGGAATGCTGTTAAACATCTACAAACCTGTCCATAATCAGCCACTATTAGAGATTTTCCTGGCGGAGCTATAAATGCTTGACGTATTTTATATCGATCCTTCTCCAAAGCAGGTTGGTTCTGTACGCAAAAGTTATATCGAGTTTAACATTATTTCTCAAAAACGGTGATTGTAATCATGTAACTATTTACTGAGGAAAAAGTCGTATTTCTAACGTAAAATCAAAGCAAAGGCTTTGCGTTGATAAGCAGAGAAAATATCAGGTACAGAAACGACATCTACGAATAGTTGACTACTGGTACTTCCTCATAACTAATTCCGGGCTAGGTAAAGATACTAGAGATAAGGCACTGTAGTAGAAACATAGGCCATGTTGTGCAAAAAAAAAACAAAGCTTAGAAGTATGTTGATACAGATATATAAAAATGTAAACACACAAAAACACTGCTGAGAAGAAAGGAAGAACAATCATAATTGTCTAGTTGACACTGGTGACGATATAAAAGATGATGAAAAATGATCTTCAGGTCGAGTGTTAACGCGATACCTGTAGACTTGGCCTTCGGGCAGATAAGCGCCCTGTTTCTGTGTTTATATTGAGTGAACAGTGCACTCTTCCGTCTTGACCTTTTATGTCACTACCCTGGAGATTCGTGTTGAAATTTCAGAACACGACAAACAAATAATTCTATCATGAAAACAAATGTGAACATGAAAACTTAAAAGCAACCCGCTTCCAACAAAAGGAATTCTATAAAATTCTACCAATGTGAACAGAAAGAAAATAAAATAACAACGGACCTGCAGAGGCTGAATGAAGTTCGAGATAAGAGTGTTTATTGACGCCACTTCACAGAGAGCAGCCAGAGCCATGCATGCTTCCTTGCCCTCTGTTCCACCTCCAAACGCCTCATAAGCCTTGCCATAGACGGACAAGTCTTCCTCCGATCCCCCTTTCACTCCGGAAGATGTCAGAACAGCAGAACCTTCACTGGAATCATCCAGCACCAAATCCTCAGAAGAATCTTCTTCCTCATCCAGTGAAGTGTAGTCGATGGCCACTTTACCAGCTAAGGCTTTCAAAGAAGCCCCACCAACGGCAGGCCATCCTGCAGATGTAAAAGTGTCCACTGGAATATCAACTCCAAGCCCGCACAAGGTGAATGGTCTGGTTTTTTTCGGCACTTTTCTGCCTTCCTCAATGTAGTTATCTGTGTTAGGGGTGTTGAAAATTCGTTCAAACTCGAGGCGCTTCTCAGGATCCTTCCTGAACACAAGTTACAAATTCCCCAGTGAGGGGTAAGTCAGTATTAGGTGCTAGAATCCAGACTGAAAGGAGCGTGACAACCGCATGTAGAAATAGATACAAAGCAACAACATGTAGTAAATTTCCATGGCAAAATTGACTCAACACCCAAACTCAGGAAACTTACTTATTCTTATTTGGCAACCCTCCGAAAAGGAGCTGCCGAATTTGTGCATCACTGCCCACATTCATGTGCACTGCATCCGGGCATCGTTTCGCAGCCCACTTCTTGAACTGAGAAGATGAAAACTCCTGCTGCTTTGTTGCAACTTCCTCTATCTTTGCTAAATGATCCAAATCGAGCAGCATACCATTTGCTTCCATCTGTACCAACAATTCTCCAAAAGGTTGCCAATACTTTAAATAAAAGTCATACATGGATTTCCCCTCTTGCTTGAACTTTCCTTCTATCAGCCACTCTTTTTGCTTGAGCTTGTCTTGAAGACTATTCCACAGACACCAGGTGCAGACAGTGTCAAATGCAGAGTAGTGAATCCACTTGTCTCGCCACTCTGCTTGAGTCTGGAGTTCTTCCACTGGTGGCACGACCCGCAATTTGCCTTCTTCGCCGTTTTTCTTTATATTAGGCTTGCCAAAGAGATGTTTCATTGATCGCTTCCCAACAACCTCCTCAATGTCCATCCCGCCCCAGTATCCATTCATCAAACTCTTATCTGACGTGAGGCCTTCTAAAGAATAGCCTCCTTGAACAACGGTACGTGCGGAATCCAACAGCCTTGCGAGGTGCATAGTGTCTGCATAAAATCCACATGCGTCGATACCGTGATTTCCAAGAATATGTTTGTCGAAACTGTAGTTGTGCCAGATCTGCAAGCAGAACAAATTTCGTCAGACCAGGCACAGGATGTGCGTCAGCTGTGAACGCAGACGCTCGCCTTAGGTCGCAAAAGTGGCAAAACTTTTTTTGCTAGGAATGAAAACCAATGTTTCAAAATTGCCTTCCATTGCGGTACGACTGAACCATGACCAATCGATAGCACTTATAGGTTAGAAGTAGTGATCACACTTCGACTGATCACAAAGGTAACCCGCCAAGAAAGCCACGGTCACAACCCGTACCTTTTTGATACTACGATCCTCAAAGTACGATTTAAATTCGTCCAAGACTTCATCTTTACCCAGTACGTCGATCCAGAGTCGAGATTTGCCATCCCCGAAATCGGCTTCAGGTCCACAGTAGACACTGAAACAGATCATACGTCCATGTCCGACTGGGCTTTCTTTCTTGATGTCGATGTCTGCCACCTGAAAGAGTACCAACGGAAGTCAATGTCACAGAAGGTTTTGAAGTGGTGACGACCAAATTCTCAATCAAATCGTAGTAGAAAATCTGCAGAGAATGAAGGAGACCGCTCCCTTGCTACCGTATAGTGGAGATTGATCGAGCCCTGTCGTGATCAATTCAATCTTACAGGAACTAACTCGTGATACAATGATGTCACTCTTTCATTATAGATTTGAATCTTCGGTGTCCTCTAGTTTTTCTCCAAGAAAGTGGGGCGCTGTTAATTATTGGATTTGAACGCTCAAAAGTACTTGCACGAATCGGAATTACATAATATCACAACATCGGGATGGAGTCAAAATAATCACTTGTCAAACGTCATACCTCAGTGTCACATGCGTGTACAAGGCCTCGATACATTCCTCTTAATTTCTCCACGACAAGCTTAGCAGTTGAAACATCGTCAACAACCAAAACTTCGGTATTCGTCCACTTTCGCTCTGGGTCAACGTCACTTTCGAAATCCGACTCGTCGGAAATGTCACCTACGGCAAGCTTCTGATTCTCCTCTATAGTCAACACAGAATCCACGCAACTTGCTTCAGTCTGACAACTAGCTAAGATATTGGCCTCCTCCTCCCTGGAGAGTTCTTCAGGCTCATGTATTTCAAGCAATTCATCGGCCTCCGGTGCTTCAAATAATTTCTCGAAGTCTAAAACGGGCTCCAGTTCAATACTGAGTTTGCTAACGTCTCCATGACTTGTTTCATTCCTCTCGCTAGCTCGTGGGACGGGCTTCCGAATCTTTTTCGCCGCCTCACTCCACTTCGATGCGCCCCATTGAGTAGAGACTTGCGTCGCAAGTGAAGTGGAGACTGGCACGGACTCAAGTTCTGCTACCTGATTTCCACGAGAGACGGCACCATGTAAAGCGAGTACTGCTTCGGGTTTCTTACTCCTAATACTACCACCTGAGTATTCCTCTCTTCTGCGTGGCAACTCCGCAACCCCCTTGGACACTCTCCACTGCTCTCGGATGTCATTTGGCGTTCCCTGCTGAACTCGCAATTGAGGAAGGTTGAAGACACGAGGACCAGTGTAAGGGTTAACGGGACCAATGTATCTTTCACGAGTGTTATTTTGATAAAATTGCGCACCCTTCTGCTGTATCCTTGACGGGTCGACATTGAGTTGTCCGAGTACGGCGAGCTGGCCGTACGTTTTCGTCGCCAAAACCAATTCATCTTGTCCCCTTTCCTTCACAATTTCACCCTCTAAGCCCTGTTGCTGCTTCCATCGGTCCGGAGTGCTGCTCACTCCTAATGTCTGTTCAGTGCCGACTTTCGAAACCGAGTGAACTAACGACGGGGAAGATGAGGAGTAACTCTGTTCTAAATTTCCCGACGCACTTAAGGGCTGGTTGGCAACTTGCTCTTCCCCAGCGTAAGAACTATTGACGAAACTACTAGACTTCTCTAAATGTCGACAGGAAGATAAAGTTGTTGCTCGAGGCCGGTGTGACTGTTGGAATGATCGATTGATGGGCTTGGCTACCAAAATTCGAGGAGCAAAACTCTCCCGGAGTACAATAGCATCCTCCTTCGTCTTGTACCTGTGATGCCACCTCCCGTTTTGCCTCAATGACTTCGTGTCTCCATAAAACCTAGAAGTATGCAACGGGCTTAGGGACTCGGAGTACAATGACAGCCGCTGCTGCCTACAAATTAGAGAAATAAAGTGTTAGCCGTGTTGCAACAAAATAAGTTTTGTATCTCAATTCCCAAGTCGGAAGAGTGTGAGTCAACAGGCTGGTGAGAATTCGGGAACATCGTAACAAGACAGCTCCACAGGAGCCCAATTAGTGCATCACCTTGCACATGTTGCTTGCGAGAGTCTGCTAGGCTGAGTTGAAACTTGCTCCCAACAATTGGAGCCAGGTTGGGAGTGCGGTTGAAGGGAGAGTTTCGGTACCAGCAAATGCTTTCAAGATATGAATGGCGAGTAGACTTCGAGTCCAAAGGACTCAAGAACACCATTCCTAAAGCGAATGATGATTTGAACACACCGATGAAATTTCAACGAGCAAACGAACACACTCACCTCGGACGAATGAGAGCTAGAATGCTGGTCCAACTTCCTATGGGCATCTCGCATCGGGGAAGAGAGGGGCTATGAAGTCCCATGGCCCCTCAGGAGACGTCAATCAATCACCCGGCACCAGTTTCGATCCCTCTCGTTCGCGCGTAAGTACAGAGAGACGCATTCCTCTGCTCCGTCTCCACCTTTCCACTCGCTCCTGCCTGTGCTTCCACTCGTCCCTCAGCTCTTCTACCGTCTGTTGGCTTTCCCAGCGCTACAGATTATTTCGCTGTCAGCACCACAAAAAGCATCGCGGAGCCTCGGCGTTCGTCCGAAGGCCTGTCACAACTCCAAAACCCTCCTCTGCACAGAACAACGAGGGAGCGGGGACATGGGCCCAAGGAGCGAGGGTTAGGGTTTTTCGCAAAAGCAGAGATTCTGCACCTCAGGACACGCTCTCGCAACTTTCCGGCACTCGCAGTCTTCCATGCTCACAACATCGACGACAGCTTCCGCGCCGCAGTCTCCCTGTCCGCAAGTAATTGAAGCTGCCTGCGTACTTACCTCTACCGACCATAGATAACAAACATTATGACATCCTATCAGTATGTTTACTTCTGATTATTCCCGGAAAAATCTCACACCATCGATTGATTAAAGCACAGGGAGAACATCTGAAAGGATCTGGAAAAATCAGCTAATAATTGTTATTATATATATTCGCCATAATTTAAATTAAATCACATCCTTAATAAATCCGAAAAACCGAGCCCATATTAACCCGTAATATGGGCTCGGTTGAATTAATCCAACTAAAGTTGAGTTTAGATCATTTATTAAACCAGATCACATTGCAGCATTTTCTTAGAATTTACTCAAGTAGCTCAACTCTATGACTTCACTACTCACTTCGTGCTCGAAGGGTCGAACCTATTAAATCAATGAGTTTGGATCATGGGTAATTACCCATAATCCATAAACAGATCTTCTTCAGATGCGTCTGGAAGCGCTTAAAAGGCTTGAAAGGCATCCTCGCGGGAGTTGTGGTTGCGAAAATGCGGAACCGTCTCGTGGCAGAGCTATTATCCAGGCACAGAGTTTGCCGCCTGCTCGTCTCCACGCGCTGTGCAAACTGGATCATGCGCTCCAATGGCGTGCAGTCTGTAAGAAGTTACTGCATTTACCACATCCATGGCGAAAACACATTTCATTGACCACAGTATAAACCATGAAATTGCGACGTAGATAGTCCTATCGTACGGCGATTAGACAGCCCGATCGTGGAGGTCCAGACTGGAATTGATCTCTGACCGTTGACATCGATACGCGGTTAGCACTCCTTGTCACAAAGCCGCGAATCGCCTGTTTTCAAAATGCACAATCTAGAACTGTACTTTTTATCCCCAAGAGGCTGGACCGGAATCTGACGTGGATTCTGACGTGGAGATCGTAGGTGGGAGCTTTATCGTGGGAGTCATATTCGGCGGCGGCGCAATAAAGTCCTACGCAGTTAGCTCCAACTGCAGTAAGCTTGTGACGTAGCAACTGCGTACAAGCTTTTCGCGGGAAACAGCGCGAGCCAAATAAGAATTCCGCCTTCTGGTTTAGATCCCAGCGTCAGTAATTCATCCGACAAACGCAGAGAATTCGATCGTGGAATGTGTGCATTTGTGCTGTAGAAGTTAGAATTCTGGCTGCATGTCGGGAGGCAAGGCGTTGATCGTGTAGGGTTTATGGTCGGAATTTGGAACAAGGAGGAAGCAGACATGAAGGTTCAGAGTGTTTGAAAGGGAATTGTCACCCCACGCGGCTACAGAATTTAGAAAGACTGGTGCAGCATTTGGTTTCAGGAGGGTGGAAATAGAGGAAATAGGATCCTGAGGGTTGCTTCATGGGCCCGGAGAACGCTTCTGAGAGGTTCAGACGCAGCTGAATTTGAAGACCATCATAGACTGGATCCATTTCTTCGTTGAGTAGCGATCGAGTTTGTGATTGGTTGAATATCTTCTTGAATATGGAAGACATGGACGTTGATATGCTACCGAGGGTGCAAGCAACATATGTGTCTCATGTGCGGACCCAACCTTACTCTCCTCCAAATGTCTTTCATTTTGTGCTTTTAGATCTTGAGGGCTTTTGGTAGATATCACGAAATTGATGGACGATCACAATCATAGATGCAGACTTCGAAGTTCCGTGCCCCTCAGAATGTCATTACTGATGAAATTCAACTCTGTCCACTCGCTTTTTCTGTGCTTTCACGTTGTTTTAGAGGTTCTACAATCCTCTCACGTGACAAAATGCTCGATCGAGAGCTACTTGGACTGAATAGTTCTGTAAATGGCTCACGTTTCTGCACCCTGGGCCCTAACTACTGAAATTTGGCTTTTGCTTGCGCAGAATGAGAAATTCGAGCTCAAGAAGCAAAAATACAAGGGACAACAATACAGCCAGCTCTACTTCTTTCGTCTCACCTTCACTCGGCAATATCTTAATCCACGCATCAAAGAGCGATGGCCATCGTACATAGGTATCCATTTTCAAGCAAATGTTTGGGTCCTTGGAGAGGAATGAGGAATATCGGATTGTGAATTTTTGTGGTAGTGAAGAAGTACACAATCATTTTGGTGAACTTCAGCTTCGAAACACTTAGTAATCTTCATAAAGGTATATTAGGATGTGAATGATGTTGATCATGAGTCAGTTTATTGAGATGGAGGAAAGAGCTGAAGGATGTTGAAGAGAACTATAATCTGCAGATACCTTGAAGGTTTATGCGCACAAAATACTGCAGGATAACATAGTCTCTCAATTTCCGGTATCCTGAATCATTTCTCCGCAGACTCGCTGAGTTAAGGTTGCTTTGTGATGTTTACAGTGACAAACATTTTGGGCCTTGATGAAGGCAAGGTTTGTGTGGTGATTGGCACACTTTACAAGCAAATGAAGCTCAAGCCTAATATTCTTGACGAGTATTCTAAGGAGGTGAAGTTTGCTCATGGCTCGCCCTTATTTATTCTTAGTATCATGTTTCTAAATGTCGCGTTACCAATTCTCCTAGCAAACGCTTCCGAAAATTGACTTCTCCTGTCAGATATTGGACTTTCGTTTGTAGCATGCTCCGAACTTCTTGCAAACCAGAATATTGATTTGAAATTTTACTCTCCTTTGGTTCTCAACTTGCAGCGCTCTGTGGGTGGCCTGGTAGTTCCTTCCAACTTCACAGATGCAGAGGATTATCTTATCCTGGAGGATGAAAGTGGTCGAGTCAAGCTAGTTGGGAATTGTATATCGCCTTCTGTTTATGTCACCGGTAGGCCAACTTCTTTTAGTCGTTGATCCTGGAATTTCTTGATGGACATATTTCGAAACGCATAAGTAAGAGTTTCATTAGCTTAAAATAATGGGCAGAGGAAGCCAGGAAGCCGCAGTTGTCTGTACGGTCTTCCTGATCTGAGTGGTATCTTTCTGATGTTGCTGGATTCGCATGATCCAGGGGTTGTTGTGGCAGTTTGTGGTCAGCCTGGAAAGGATGGTGAATTCCTTGTGGAGGAAATCCTGGAACCGGGGCTTGCACCTCAGCCTCCCCTTCCCACCCGAAAGAAATCAGGTGAGACTTAAAATTCTCCTCTGCCATCGACATCAACTGTAATTCAGGAGTTCTCATTTGCAGTCAAATCCATGTGGAACAGTTGTCCTTCATAAAGAGGAAATCTTAGCGTCAGAAGCTGTGAAGTTTCACGACGATTTTTCTGAATCCATTTTCTTACCCCTATATAACAAGTCGTTGTCGCCAATGAATTGAACTCAGAATCGGAGAAGTACGTTGCTTTTGTATCGGGCCTAAGATGTGGAGGGCCTGAAACGAATCCCCTTCAAGTTCAGCTTCTCGTCGATCATCTTACTGGACACCTTGGTGAAGAGCAGGTAATTTTGGTCACCCCTGCTATACTCTTACCTCAATTTAAGCTACGACCACGGGAAGTTCGCATCAAGCTATCTAGTTCTTTTGATATGTCCGTACTGAAGCTGAACGTCCTTTGAAATTAAAGAGGGGCTCTGAAAACCATCACTTACATATCATTGTTTTATCCCGAAAAAGAACATCTGAAAGGGGATGTATAGATCCAGTATCTCGTATTACATTTGTTCATTGTAGATACGATTGTTTGTGAAATCTTTAAATTGTTGGTCCAACCTTCTTATCGAAGTATGAAATATAGATCCTCCTAAGGTAACTTTCTGCTCGAAAGATCTGACCAGTGGTGACCTGATGTTCTCAATTTATTACGAACCAGGAGCAGAGCCTGAGTGCCCAGGTTGTCCGCACCATAATAGCGGGAGACTCTGTTCAACTTCAGGCCCAAGCTCTCCATGGCCAGGTAATTCTTGTGCATGCCTTGTGTTTGTAATTCAAATTGAGCATCGAACTTACTGTACCATCATTTCCGGTCTCACCTGAGATATGATGCAGCATATAAATAGAGTCATGCTTACAGAGGGACAAAAGTGGGGTGTTAAGGTACGTAGGACATTTGGAGTTTTTATACTCATTCTTAAGATGTTTGCTTCTCGCAGCCTCTATCTAGCAAAGATCAGCACAAGTTGATTGAGCCTATCAAGGAGTTGGACTTGGTACTCACTCAGGTATAATTCCGAATATCATGCTGAATTTGATTTAACTGATTGAAGCTTCCTCTTAGCGAAATACTGCAATGCGAACGTTTTATACAGTGTTGTCTACGTTCAAGATTTTATTACACTTCAGTGTTTCTCTTGATGCTCTATGATCTCTTCCCGATCCATGAAACTAAATATGTAAGTAGTCTCAGAATTCATTCACGGCTGCTGAAAGTGCGAGTCTATCGATCTTTATGGTGTTATCTTATGTCAACGACATGGAATGACGTCTCCTGAATTAAGACCGGTTGCTATCTTCTACTTGCATACAGCTAGCTTCTGCTATGCCAGTGGACATCATGCCTGGTTCAAAAGACCCTGCCAATTTCTCATTACCTCAGCAGGTACGAGTCAGGTTGTCACATTAATCTTGATGATGAAAGCTAGAGTTGGTTTATGTTATCTGATGTTCATCTAGTAATGCTGAATTTGTAAGCGGCCTGGTTATTCACATTCGTATTGTTTGAACCTCTGAACAGTTCATGAACGGGTTTGTCATGTATGATTTATGCTGTGTCTGAGTCTTGGACTGGGATATTGGAGTTATATATTGGAGATAGTAAATCATTAGATTACCACTTTCTTGTGCCTGATGAAGTGACTCTTATTTTCGGGCTGATATTTCAGCCATTACACAAGTGCCTGTTTCCCGGAGCAACAGCATATTCCACATTTGTCTCCGCAACAAATCCTCACCAATTTGAGCTGGATGGAGTAGGGTAATTCTTTTTTTCTCTCCTGCACTTCACATGTGTGAAGCTGGATTATCTTAAGATCTGACCCATCTGTACTCTTGAGCATTTCAAATCTGTGTAGTTTCTCCATCTCAAATCTATCGTCATATCTTACCGCTGCAAGCAAACTAAACTTGCCCATACATGCTTTTTACAAGAAACCAGTTTGAATTTGCTTTGGAGCTAGTCTTTTATGTGTTTTCGAACATCGAGTGTCCAACATCCTTTGAGGTTCAGTATACGTTTCCAACCATAGGTTAAACTATCGACTTCGGTCTGAAGCTGATCGAGGTGGAACTTTGTGCATATATCTTTTGCCCTGCAATGCAGGTTCCTCGGTACATCGGGACAAAATATCGAAGATCTTGACAAGTATTCATTAGCTGACGATCCTGTGGACTATATGGAGAGAACTCTCAGCTGGCGACACATCGCACCCACAGCTCCGGATACTCTCGGTAATTCCTGACTGGGCTTATGCATCGGAAGTCTCATCGACTACCCAACATGTTCGCGAACGACAATACTGAGGCTATCTGCAGTTTTTCCTGTAAAACTTGAGAAAGGATGTGCTATGAGTATGTTTTTTTGCATAGATTGATTCCTTAATGTATTCAGACACTTGCCTTTTTAACAAACATTGATGAGCTCCTTCCTTAATTCACGATGGAATTTAGAACCGTGTGAGTGTTTTTGTTTTACAGGATGCTACCCATTCCACGATAGAGACCCGTTTTTAATCGAGCCAAGTTGTCCTCACGTTTACTTCTGTGGTAATCAGGACAAATTTTCAACGCGCTTGATAAGAGGTACATTTTATAACCTTCGTTTGAGGGAAGACCGATCTTTGTGACTGCAAGTTTCCAAGTATTCTCAAACGCTGGATCCGTATATTGAGCAATCTGTAGAAAGATATGGTCTTGCGAGAACTGCTGCTCATGTTGTCAATACCTCTTCTGCGGATAATCTCCTTGACCCATGTCTCGGTGGTTATTCAAGTCCTTGCAGATCTCTGTATTTATTTGTGCCAAGGTTCCTACACCAAGGACAATAAACACCTCGGATTTTTTTAACGTTATCTACATCCTTGCAGGTCCAAAAGGTGAAATGGTGCGACTTGTATGTATACCAAGATTTGCTGAGACAGGCACCGCTGTTTTAGTAAGCTTCCTTGCTCATAAATTTGTCTTGATTTGTGCGCAAAGTCTTTCTTTCAGCTCATTGCATGATATTCAAAACTACTAGAGGGATTTCAAAGCAAGTTTTTGGAGGACACGGGATCACCGACCTAGAAACATGCGCCGATATGTAGTTTTCTGTATAGTTTGATGGTTGAACAGGTCTTGCTTTGAGATGTAACTGATAGGTCTTTTAATTTCGGACATGCACGTGTAGTACCCGTCTAACTTTCAACATAATCTTCTCAGGTGAGTTTGAGTACTCTTGAATGTCATTGTGTGACATTGTCGACTTCATTACTGGAGATTAGTTCTATCGAGGACATCAAGCCAGACATCAAACCTTGATAGCATGAAGATCTTCCGCTTTGTCCCTTCACGTGAGCTGCCTCAACCTGGCCAAGGACGTGGGCCTTAGTACTGCAATAGCGTGTTCTTCATTTTATCTTCTATCTTTCATTCCAGAGTTGGCTGGAAGGATTAACAAATATGATTATTTGCTGGAATATCCTTGTCTCGCGAACTTGTAGTTTCTCCTGTTGTGCTTGATGAGATTAAAAGAATGCATGATGCTGATGAGATGGGTCTGGTTTATTGTTTCAGGACCGTAATTGATTACATTGGATTCCTCAGTCTGCTCACTGACTGTGTGGAGTGGATACGTGGAGTGGATTGCCGTACGTAATATTATCCATTTTGGAAATTTTTATCCGGAAATTTCTCCTTTCATCATATTCGTTTGCGAAGGTAATAAGAATGCCGGGATTTAGTTCGCAGTTAAATATCTGAACATCTCTCGCTATATCTGCAGGATAACAGCGCAAGTCAAGCATCACATGGTGGTCCCGGATACTTTGGTGAAAGAAGTTCCTTTCTCGGATGGGCCTAAGGATGTACTTCTATCGCTTGCAACTAAAGCTTTTGAACATTAGGAGCTTGATGCTGAATATCGTGGTCCTTTTCATGCTCTTGTATATACTTGTAATATGAGATATCGAAGGCACGTAAAAATGTAGGAAATGTTCACCAGTCGTGAGGCTTCGACTGACTGATATGATACTCCTAGATTTATGTGTACTACTTTCCTGATACATTTCAGACCTGGAACTTTACTTAAAACATCGCACCAAACCATGAGCGCTGCTCAAGTGGTCTGGATTTGTGTGGAACACTGGAATTCTCCGTAGACTCGGTGCATGATATGTTGCAATATAATCTGTCTGGTAATCGACGATTTCAAAATCAAGATAGAAGTAACACGCCGAAATATAGCGCGCAAGTACAAAAGCAAATTGGAGTGTAGTGGCACACTTCCATGTCATGATGTGCATGAAGCACTTCTCTCGAAATTATGCCAAAGATATTCGCATTGATGCAGATGTCTGAATGTGACACTTCGAATACGTGAAGCCGTGGGACACACACCGAATCATTTGGGGTTCTTGTTGATAACGTCCTTTTATTGATACGTAATCATGTCAGAAATTGCTTATGTTTTCCTTCGACATTTTTTATCACCTAGACCGAGTCTCTATTGAAGTGGAGAGGAATCTTCGTGGTCTCCGGTTCGGACATTAGCCAAGACAAAACAGAGTGCCAGAATCTAAGAGCACACTCACAGCCAGCCGTGACCAGATGGACTGGAACGATGGTAACTTGTGGAGCAGCTGCTCATAATGTCATCTCCTGGGGTAGATTCGCTGCCAAAAGCTCCAAGCTGGAGATTTAAACAGGTCAGTTTCACTTCACAGCAAAGAACTACAACACTCGATCTGCAGTACCCAGTCCACAAAGTTTGCAACACAAATCTAGGTGAGGTCCTCTCACCTCAGTGACATGATTGCCATTCCCACAAAAACAGCTGTAACGGCCTGACGATGGCCGGCATACTCCAATGCTAAGGGCAGCATTTCCCGCAAAGTTATAAAGGCCATGACACCTCCGACTGCAGAATAGCAGTGATGAAAACAGAAGGTCATGGTCCGCGCATCTGTTTGAAGGGGATAGACTCCAAGTCCACCACACACGACTGACGCTGGGACGCTGGGCACCGACATTAATCATGAAGCGTTGTCCAGTCTTAGAGGATAAACGGAGTGTGCATGAGGGGAAACGGGACCGAGAGTATCAGAGTTTTCTTACCAGCTCCAAGTAATCCTTCCAAAATATCCGGTGACAGACTGCTTGGGAAGAGATAGGCTGCACGATAGGGTACCCACAGCGTTAATACTTGGAATCCATCCATCATGCGGACATGAGAAGAAGCCTTCAGTACACAAATTTCCATTCACGTGTCCTCATGAAAATTCTTAAACAGTATGTGAATGAAAGGATCTCACCGACAAGAACAACCCCCAAGGGTTCGGCCAGACCAGAGAGGAAAGCCAGTTTGAAGCCTTCCCACTTGCTGCATCCAAAGAAAAAATACTGCTCTTCACTTGATACTCAGGGAGAAACTACAATGATGAAGAAGCACGATAAAGCACATAATATTTTTTCCAAGTTGTCATCTTCGATTATGGTGTTCACCTCTCAGTTGCGAAGTACACTGGTAAGGCAACAGCAACTCCCTGCCAAAATTCAATTGTACTCATTAGCATTTGCCCGTCATAGCCTAGAGATTCATCGGACAAGACTATCCTCCTAAGAGTAAGCGATGCTAATAGACTGGGCAGGAGACGAACATTCATTCAAGAGAGGGGAGGAAGAAATATAAAAACTAGTCCTATCGTCTCACTGCAATCTTCTGATCTCTCTCTCTTTTCTCTGTATAGCAGCAACGTCAAACCTACAGACTATCAATGGCAAAACAAACAAACAGGATGATAGGCATTCACCTCTGGTATGTTGTGCAGACCTATTGCTATAGCCAGGCCCACACCTATTCGCACGCCCTGCAAATTAGTGACCACATGAGAATTAGTTCTACGATACGTTTTCGAAAGCAGTCGAACCAACTGAAAATCATTACATCTGCAATACGAGTACATAAAGACATTTCACCTGAACACATCCAACGAGTAACACACACAGTACTTTTATAGTTCCAACTCTATCCCATGTCACAAGGTTCTCATACCTTGACTGATCCGAGAAAGATTGCCATACCCTCAGGAAAGTTGTGAAGGCTGATACCTGCAATTAATAGGATGACATCGACCACAGAAATGATTCTTAATACCTTTCATCGAAACAGACGAATGAGCATTTCTTCCACGTGATTCTACCGTCTCCATTGGAGGTATAAGCTATACTCGTTAGTAGTATGTCATATTAGGTGGATGGTATAAGACCGATTGCATAATCAAGATCCACTCGACCAGAAAATGTTTGGTTCAACATACTCATCCACGACTGGGAGGAATTGTGACTCCTAGAAATTCAAAACAATTCCCTCTAATGACTTTGGTCTATGCATATTTAGAAGTGAAAGGCGAAAACCGTACCAACAGCTGTGACGATACCACTCAGCCACACCTGCTTTCGCTGTCTTTTCAGAAGAGGCTTATCGCCTGCTTTGTCATCCTGTGGATACTCAGATATATCATGAGTCCAATTTTTCTGCTCACATAACTCTATACGAAAACCAAAGTAGGTATTATGAAAAAACCACTAATTTTGGACAAAGCAGAAGAGAACCATGACTGTCACACGGCCAGGCACTACCTTTTCTTTGAATGAAGCCTTATCTGAGGCTGATAGAGTCGGCTCTGGTATCACTGTGACAATTAAAGCAATCGCAATCACTCCTCCAAAGAACTGCACTCATCACAGGTATAAGACCACACTTACAGCGAGTAACAAGGACATACTCAAGAAGATATCTTCCGTAGTAACATTCAATATGCACCACACCTTTACGCTAATGAGACTAAAACCAGGACCTCAAAACAGTCTATGAGGGTTTTTGACATTTTTTGACGTTCATACGAAGATTTTGATTTTTTAACTCACCCAAAGATTAGCCTTGGTGAACCCTATGGCGTTGGTGGCATTGTGCATAAGATCAAGGAAAGAGAGAGATAGCATCATCCCCGCAGCGAGGCCCTGAAGAGAAGAGCAAAATTAAACTCAGGCACGCAGTTCGAAGCACTCCTCGCACTCATTCTGGATCAATTGCAGTTTACCGCATGCAAACATCTGCGACAGAAAATCCACTTCGGCACCAATTCTCACTTGCAGAGTTCCCAGCATCTTCAGCGATGGTTTCGGTTGCAACACGACGAGTAATCCTCCTGCAATTCATACCAATCCAGTTCACCAGTTACTGCCAGCCACAGCAACAACCGGAAATGAATTCAACTTGAAGTATCAGCCTGCAAAATATCAAACAGTCATCGGCGAGAACCTCCCAAGTACCTAAGCCGGTGCTGAGGCCACCCATCATCGAGAGCAGAAGCGGGAACATAACAGACCCCTCCATAGCTTGAGATTGCACGCCCTCGCCTCCTCCCTTCGATTGCGTTACGCGTGAGCCGTGCTTTCAAGAGATCTGGGCTTACGTTCTCTTTTAATTCTCCAGACGCTCGTCAGCAATCAAGGTCTCATCCATCTCCGATATCACCCCGCCGCGCACAGGCGATCGTCGATCCAGAGCAGGCGACACTCTGTAGAATCCCGGTCGAGAACCCGCAGATGCGTAGAACAAGCTCCGGCCGAGATGCAGGAGGAGGAGGAGGAGGAGAAGAAGAAGAAGAAGAACTCTACTTCAGCGCACTTGAGCCGCCTGAGCATGAGAGTCGTCGTCGCCTGGCAGCAAAGACCCGCCAAGTTTCTGGCCACCCGACAGTCGGACCGCCGCCTTAAAATGGGATCAGATTCGTCGCCCCACTAAAGGTGAGCCTTTCATCCTGGGCGTCATCGCCATCCCACATTTCTTGTTTCTTCCTGCGCGTGAGCACTCGGTGCTCATTTCGATGCGCTCGTCGTCTGCTCTCGAATCGCAAAACCCATTGACCCGCACATGATCGTCTGCATCAGCTGATCCCCTGACGCATCATCCTCCACCTCGTCGGCAACTAGTTGTCTGCACCAGTGTGCTCGCTTTGCCGTTTGAATATTTGTCGAACTTTTGGAGATTTGCACTCTGCCAGTTTAGCTCGTACGGAGCGAGGAAAACCGAGTCAGACACTTCGAGGGACGGGGACTGCTTCAGGCCAGTAAAAAAATGGCATAAGAGGACGAGAGACTCTTGAGAACAGGCCGACAGGATCCGGAAATTACCCATCCGCGAGGTGCATCGGCCAGAGCCATGTGTGAAATTTGAATAAGGATCTGGAAACCGATTAACAATTGGGCTCTCTGATCACAATTCTGACGTTTGAATGTAGAGCGAATTACTGCGAGAATTGTATGCTATGCGTGGGAGCGATCGCTTGGCACTCTTATCGATCTGTGATTCCCCTTTAATTGGCATGAATGCAAACGCCTCAGCTGGTGTTAGACTCCCTGAAACTGCATCCAATTTTCCATCAGCTCCTCAATTGCACACCCGTAGATAGACTCTTCATATAAAAAAATTTATGCCCGGGACGAGGTGGGAAGAGTGGGATGACGATGGTACCCACTAATCAGAGCATGGAATTTTGAAAAGGTCATCGGAGTTCGGGCCTCAGAGCAATCTCAGTCATCGTCGAGAGACTCAAACCACTTGTCATTATTTGCCATGGCAATCTCGGAAGAGATTGTGCATGATAGCAAAACTTTTCAATTTTACTCGAATGATATCTCTCTCTCTCTTTCTCTCTCTCTCCCTCCCTCCCGTGCCTGCAGTGAGAAGTAGTGAGGACTACAAGCACTAGCTCGACAAATGTTCCTCAAGGCTCTCGACACCAATCAAGACTAACACTCTTGAAGAGTTGAACTAGTCCATGCAGTATGTGAACATTGCCTGAAAAGTTGTCTATAGTATTCTGTTCTCTGACCAATGAGATTTCGAATCTACTGACTGAATGGTACGGTTATTGTGAGGTATGGAGAAACAGCGTGTCGAAGAGTGCGTTCATGGATAATGATGACGATGATGATGGCTGAACTGACAAATCCAGTGGTCGATTTAAGGCGAGCTTGTGTTGACATTCCCAGATCTCTAGGTATGAATCTCGGTTCACACTTATCACTAATCCTAGAAGTTTAGTGTATCTCAAAAATCTGTTGCCTCTTTTCTCGCCATTTGTTGTGTTTTCGAAGTGGGTGTTATGTTGTCATAAGCATGGTGCTCTCAAGCACATTGCACTAAACGAGACATGTACGTTAACTCATGAAAGTAGCACTGTGCAATAAGTATATTGGAGTCCAGTCAGACCTGGAAAAGTGCAAGTGATGTGGTCGTCTGTCTCCACTTGCACTTGAAGAGTTATTGCACTTATTGTTGGCTTTCCACGAGTATGCTTTCAGTGCAATTATCCAGAAGTGGAAAGTGCATTTGTAGAGGCCAAGCTCTGTTTACTTCGTGATGAGTTTGATTGAGATGAGTAAATGTGATTGCAGTCCTCCATTGATGAAGTTATATCTCCCGTTCGTGAGGAGTGTGCTGGTGGGAGTGTCTAGACAAGGGATCAGATCAATAGTCTTACTAAACAAATTTTTCCTTGATTTTCATCGCTGATAGTAAGGACTTCGTTCCCACTTCAAATCAAAAGTGATGGGAAAATGTCACAACCACCTTCACAGATACTGCATGTTTTGACTGAAATTGAAAACTACTGTGACCCCTCCATGTTCATTTTTTCCAAAGTATTGCCTTTTATTTGCAATACTTGAAAATTAACATGGAGGGGTCAAAGTAGTTTGAAAAGTCAATATTTTATATACATCAAAGTACAGTTCATAAAACATTTTCGAGAAGAGATTTCTAATATATGTAATTTTATTTATGTCCTTTTTAAAATTCAGGGATATCTAATTTTGCATATGAATATGATACATACATGCAAGGCTACTTGAGCTCTTCAACTCTCACAGTCAGGCAATTGCACATTAGGTGTAGCTTTTGCCGGGGAGGGCAAGGTCATGGTTTTTTACTCTACGACTCGAGAGGATTTGACAACTCGGCTTGCTTATAGCTGATTTCCGTCTAAGTATAATAATTTTTGAAGGAGGAGGAGTGGTAATAGATAGGGTTTGTGTCTGGAGAGCAACCGGGTGAAGATTAGATTTCATCGGCTGAGCTGACCGCTCGTCAGATCAGGCCTTCTTAGTTCAAACTAATCTCCAACTACTTTGTCGAATATCTCGGTACACAAGACCCGTCTGGATCTTGTGGTCTCTTGATTCCGATTTGAATATCAATACGGCATTTGAATCATGTCCCGTTACATTAGAATCATCGTTAACAGCATTGTTGGTAGTTTGAAAGTTCCGAGATGGCTTCTTATCACCAGCTTTGATCTTTTCTCTCTCATAGTCAATGCCATGAGCAATGTGATCTTGCTTACTTGTGTCAAACTCCTTATCAGCCTCTAATTCGACAAAATTCAATTCATCTCTTAAAACCTCGGTTATCTTCTTCAAGTGCAAATCTGCCTCTTTCTTTACAGTTTAACGCATCTTTTTACGTACTCTTCTTCGTGTCGTAGGTAGTGTGATAGGTCGTCGAACAACACCTTGTTTCGAACCTATCTAGCAATGTGGAACTATCGCCTTCTATGGAAAAGTTGAAATCATTTTGAGAGTTTGGAACGTGAAATCCACCGGAAATTATTTGGATTGATATGCATGAATAGAGAGATAATTAACAATTGAAGAGACTAACAAGATTTGGAATAAGAAGACTTAAGGAATGAGTTTGATCCACTTGTAAAGAAAGACTAGCAAAGTAGTAAAGTACTGGTAAAGTAATTGTGATACTTATCGTGGAAATTTTTATGAGATTTTCAAATTTAGAATTCAATAGATGTGTAGCGTATACGGGAAAAAATTTATATTTAAATTTTTTAAATGACCTCCATGGAATTTGGAATAGTCAAGTTTGACATTGCCAGTACAATGCACACTCTGATTGTTTCTTTGTTAGAACACAATTAAACGCCATGATCAAAATTGACAGTTCTAGAAAACTTAAAAGATTGAACAATGATTTAAGGTCAAAATATCTTCTAAATGACAAGAAATAAATATAGGGATGCCATATTTAGAAAGCATAAAAAAGAACAATGGATGAGTAGAAGGATTGCGTCACTCTAATTGATAAAGTTCAAAGAAAAACGAATATAAAGAGTTATTGGATAATCTTCACCCAATCTTCATAATGAAGAATAATGAAATTAAACTTAAAAAATCACATATATTTCTTCAATGATGTTGTTATAATATATTGAATAATAAGATGTATTGAATAATAATCAATATATTATTTTTTTTAAGTTTCTTTTCTACATCATATCAGTAATTATTACGTATTATTACATTATAGGGATTTTAAAATCTGATTCACCACTTCATGTTATACAATGAAGTGGTGAATGTTTTGACACACTATCTTTAGCATGAAGTTGCTGTGCTAGATGATAACGATAATTATTTATGTCAATGACTTGCTCTCTGCATTTCATCTCAATAATGAGTAGTGTATTCTATGGTATGACTGTTTATATCATAAGTGTTATAAAATAAAAAATTTAGTGCTTATAATATATACAACTATTCAATTTGAAACAAAATCATTGATCTTGTAAAATGGAAGATATTTGATTAATGAAAATCTAATTTTTTGATATTCTTGTGACCATATTGATAAATATAATTTATAATTTTGACATAAAGAGAATTTGGTATCTCTTGGTATATTAGACACATATTATTTTGAATGAAAATCAATTAATAGCGTAATTTATACTAAGACTTGTAAAACTCTAATTTAAAAATATAAACGGTGTTTGTGGATAGAAGCATGGACGTAGATTTTGGAATGAGAGAGAACATTGTGAAATTTAATTCCAGATTATAGTACTGAAAAGAGCTTGTACATTTTTCACAAAGAAATCTGTAACTTTAGATTTTTATTTAGTCGTTTTAAAATTCTATGAGCATATGATTTCATATTTTCAAATTTTTTTCAATGTTTACATAATAACGTATGAATTATCCTTACATTTGAAAAAATAATATTATGGCAGCCTTAGCAAACATATTTATTTAGAAAGTTTATTATGTTATTTTCATTTTTTTTTATAATTTCAAAATAGGTTCGTATGTATATATGTACAAAGTTCACTCATATGATCTCAAAATATAAGTTATACAAAAAACAACAAAATAGCAAGCGTTCTGCTAACGAGTTTGCCCAATGATATGTCCACCAGATATCCCAAATTGTTCTCATCTCCGTGAAAGAATCCGAACTACCTCCACATGCCTTCGAAGAGCACCACTGCTCCGACAGTAATTCGAAGCCTACGATCGTCAGCGATACACAATCATGCTTATCCGGCAGCTTTCAGGGCCAAACTTTACTCAGAATTTGCAGGTATCCGAAATCTCATCATCTACCTCAAAAGAGTTCAGAGAAGAGTGGCAGGAATCTGCTCGCATGTGATGATCGCTGGCAAGCATTCAAGCACGCTGTTCCTTAACTGCGCAGAGAGGGAAGTGTTTACTGCTCGGTCGCCCGCCTCACGCTGTGCCTTCCACATCACCTCCCGAGACACCTCTCGCTCCCGCTGAGGACCCCAGATCAGAGACTCCACGCTTCAAGCAGACGTGCCTTCGACATGGTACCACGGGTCCTTTGCAAGAGCCCCAGGTTCCATCTCTCCTACTCCCCCTCGGGGTAGAAGCAGGTTATAATACAGCAGATATAATCCCCTGCTTGTCTTACAGTTTCTCAGAATGGTTTCGTAGCACTACAATGTGAGCATGTTGGGAGCGTTGTTCATTGATCGAATTGCGACTATTGTGTTCCAGAAGCTGTTGAGGCCTACCAGTACAATTTACAGCGCTCCCGTGGATACCGTACAGCTCGAATTGATGACAAATCAGGCCTTGTTTCTGCAGTTGCAGTTTTCTCCCCCGCACTGTTGCCCGTAACTTTGAGCTGATTCAGCTTTGAATGCCTCCGTGGAGAGACACGAAACTGCGCGATATCAAACTCTGATGTCGATGGTGATCGCTTCCGTTCTTATCTTGAATCCCAATATCTGCAATGGTGCAGACGAGGGATATTTGTGCGACCAATGATAACGTCCCCGAGTCCAGGGATGAGACACGAACAGAGTGCAAATGCTGTAGAGAAGTTTGGCTGATTTCGTCCTCTTACTCTCGACGAACCGCAATAATGCGAAATACTGTCGGAATGGTTGGTGGCAGGCGAATAAGAAAGCTTGCTTTCAACGAGTTTGCCTCCTGCTGTGTCCACCAAATGATCTCCCAATCTCTTTTCCGTCAATACGAAGAGCATCTCTGCATAAATATTATTTCGAAGCCTAAGATAGTGAAGGATATACCATTTTTAATCGCATCAAGTAAAACGCATTGAACTTTTTAAGGCTTAAGACATTGAGTATCTTGTGTTGAACTTGTACATGTATCACTCATTGGTTTCCTTGTCCATGTTTACACGAGGGCTCAGCTGTGCATGTCACTATTCTCTAGACATCCTAAACGGCATATGAATCAAGATATCGTACTTAGCACCAGATTCTTCTATACAAGAAGACATACTTTGTCCACAATTTAACCTCTCAATACTAATAGACATTGGTGCTAGGGTTGCTAGGGTTTGGAGGCAGAGCAAAATTTTTGAGGGCATGCCCCATGCCCCCAAGCATGCCCGTATTACAATACGTACATTTGACGTATTAGAAAATACATTTCTATAGAAATAAAACACTAAGTGGGATCAATGAAAATGAAAACTTAAAA